CCAAAGGCCTGCAATCTAGTGTCACTAGGAAATGGCGCACAGTGGCGTGAGTCCCATGAAATATTAATATTTCCTTATAAAGATTGTATCATCAATTTTAAATAAAATAAATATTATCATTTCTTAATTAGAAATAAAATAAAAATAAAACTAAATTTTGATTTGTATACAAGCATTAATTACATTTTTTCAATTCCCTAATCAATAGTATTAACAAATTTACCACTAAATAATTCCTCTTCCAAAACAATTCAAATCAAAACTGCACACGAAAATTTTTCTCCATAATAATTAAATCACAAAATTGTGATTAACAAAGTACTTAAACAGAAAGTTTTTTAAATTATACCTATTTAGGTTTAGGTGGTGAAAGAGAAGTAGAATCTGACAATATTGAGAATTTGAGAGATTTTGAGTGATGGTATCCATAGAAGATTTTTATTGCTGAGTACTGACATAAATCACAAAACTTAGTAATAGTTTGAATTTAAAAAATCATCAGATTTTTTAAAATGAAGGTTTTTTGAGAATCTTAAACAAGATTTTTGATCAATGTTTACTTAAAATTCCAATTTTTTTGTAAAATTTCTTTAATATGTAAATCATTAATTTTTATGTTGATCTTCATCAAAAATAAAATCTACAAGGGCATAATATTAAAATATATTTTTAAATGGAAATCGGTTAATTTTACAAATTTAGGTAATGCGAAAAAAATACAAGTCCCATCTCTTATTTTTATATGATAAGTGCGAAGCGCCGATTTTTAAATTGGGGAAAAAATCATTTTTGAATTTACCATTGGAATTACATCATTGCTTTTCTTATTATCACCTATGTTGATTTTTGTTTTTAATTTAATAACCTAAAACTAACTTTAATTTTTTTGTTATTTTTATATATATTAACGCAACTTAAATACTTTGTTTCAAATTTTTATACATTACGGTTATATTTTATTTTACAAGTGTCCGGCATTTCGCGTTTTCGACGATCATTATATATGAACTTTAATAAATTTATTAGTGGGATCAATATTGCTTTCTGTGAAACCTGGGAAGAATTCGTCAACATCGAAGCAATTTATACCGTAGCCGAACTCGCTGACCCGCGCTTAGAAGTAAATTCAAGTTACTACACTCGTCTCAGATGATAATTCAAGGTCTTCAAATGCTCTGAGGCAGTCCAAAAAAAGGAAGAAACATATATCAATTGGGTGGCCCGCGGTAGCCATTTAAGTAAAGAATGTAATTTCTCAGGGAGAGAAAGGATTATCAAAGAACTTAGAATTGCCGCTTCATCTAAAGAAATAAGACATATGTTGAGCTTGAGAGAGAGTTTGACGTTCGAGACATTAAACGTAATGAATCAGGGCTCAAAGAAGAAAAATTTATATCCAAACTTGAGGAGAGATATTATGGACAGATACAAGCCGAGATCGTAAAATAGAAAACTAGAATACGAGGAAAGTACTAAACTAATACAAAACTTCAAGCAACTCACAATCGATACGTCATCATCGGACAACAACTACAATTGTCATGACAATTATTATGACAACTGCCACTACAATAGGTATTACAACCACGACAGATAATATAGCTTTGATAGAGGAAATAATGCTTACATTCATGGTTTTTTAAGACTTTATCGAAGAGCCAATTATAATTATAATAGATTCAACAATGATAACAATTTTAAATACAACTATTATAGACAATCATGGGAACCAAAAAACAATAATACTATTTATATATGCGTTAAAAAAATATTAAAAAAATACTATTTTACTACATTAAAAATTTTTTGGGAAATTTACTTTTTTTTGTAATCAATAGAAATGACTCATTGAGAGTAAGCATCAAAAAAACAGATTACTAAATGATAATAACAATGAAAGAAAGAAAGAAAGAAAGAAAGAAAGAAAGAAAGAAAGAAAGAAAGAAAGAGAAGAAAGAAAGAAAGAAAGAAAGAAAGAAAGAAAGAAAGAATGCATCATAACATATAACGATAGAAATCTAAGATATTCAAGTAAAATAAACACTATATATTGAAGAAATTGCGGATGACGACAATACAAAATATTCTAATAAAGAAAATAACTTGTTAAACATGTACGTGAGCAACATGAACCAAGGTACGAACGAGTGTAAAGCTCGTACAAAGTCATGATTAAAATTAACGATATCCCGACGACGACAAATCAATATAGACATAAGGTTCACTAACCTACCACGACACGTAGCGATCAAAACTGGGATAAGCAAGGCGATGAAAATTGAAAACTAACATAAAACTATCAGGTTACGATAGCAATGCAATCAAGGTATATATATATAGCATATATATGAATTTTAACGCTTTCCATAATCGTTTTGATTAGCGACTAAGTAATGCATTATGAAGATTTTCTCAGAGAGGAGAATGTTGATTATGTTGATTTCCATTTTTTCTTTCCCTAAAACCAACTTTAATAACAATTTTTGGTTCAAATCAGTTTAACCATCACTTTAATATATAACTTAATATGATCAAATTTTTAGATTCAAACGATTAACTTTTGAATAAAATGTAGTTTTACAATATCTAAAAAATAAATAGTAAATCTGGTTCGTTGTTTCTTAAAATAAAATTTTACATATTATATAAAATGATGATAAAAAATCGAGCTAATGAATCTAATAAACTATCCTTCTAATATAGCCCCAGGCAACATTAAATTGATAATGATTTTATTAATGGAATAATTGTTGTTTAATAAACTTAAATAGAGTACAATTAACTTAGAATACAACAAAAAAGAAATAGATAATGAGTTATAATTAGCTCATGTAAAGGCGATTTTTATTAAAGGGCATAACAAAAGAGGTTAATAAACTTAAAATTTTATTGGCTGTCTTGAGAGGTTAGGTGAATGGGGGAGAGATATATATTCACAACGAAATTGATAGAATTGAAATTATAAGGATTTCGCTGATAATCAGGGTAAAGAAAAGAGGTGAGAACGATAAATGAGCATGTGACTTGCCACAAGTGTGCGAGAAAAGGTCATTATGCTTTTTCTTATAAAAACATTGGGGTAAACGTACTAAATACAGACAATTATAGAAATTGTATTATGAACTGAAATGATGATAATATGAGAGAAGTGAATCACAGTGGTAAAACAAGTATAGTAACCATGATAATTTACCAGATTCGATATACCAGGTGGCCAATAAATAATTTGTGGCTTAATTGAAATTTTTATAAAGGTTCAGGTGTCTTTAATGTACGAAAAAATCAAGGAAAGAATTGGAAAAATAAACCAATATTATCATCTAAGTCATCTTTAAGGCATATGGAAATTCAGAGCTGTAGTTAAAGGTGAAACAATTGTTAGGAATAAATGGAAGGAAGAAATACAACAGCCTCCGGCAGTAGCAACAAAGTAGTATTATACGACCTTATTTGGATTACCATGGATCATAGTTTAAGATGGGAGTTTCAGAATAATTAGATTAAAATTAAAGGATCAAATAGGTGGGAATATGTATTAGCTAAATTAATAAAGTTTTTGATGGAAAACCCGGGTTAATCAAGAATTTCAAGGTGCAATTAGACATTGACTCGAGCGTTGAACCTAGGTTCTAGGAGAGAAGAGTGCCTTTGCCACTTTGTAAACCTATCGAGAGTTGGAGAGGTTACTGAATATAGGGGCATTGATAAAGATAGATCCAGTAAAGAATCGGTTTAAGTGGATAACGTCGACTGTTAATGTATGGAAAACGGTAAATACTGACACTGTGGGAAGATTTACATACAATCCCAACGTTGGATGATTTTCTAGCAAAGATTGGAAGAAGATAGAAATATTTGTATTATGTCATGTATTTTATTGATCCTAATTAAGAGAATATTTTTCTTTTACTCTCCTTTTTCGAGATTCATTTATGGGTATAAATATAGAGAAAATATTTTAATGAAAAATTTTGCTGGAGAGTATAAATACATATAAATTAAGAGAATATTTACAAAAATAATATAAAATAACAAATGAATTTATGAATAAGCAGATTAGAAATAAATTAAAAGCGCATCCATGGTTCTTTTCTAATATTCTCTCGAAAACTTTCATTTCATGCTCTAACCACAAAAAACGCATTCATAGTTCTTTCAAAAACCTTTATTTTATGCTCCAGGAACTAAATTGTCCTACACCTAATAGTTTAACACCTTTCCCGTGAGGAATAACCACGCCTTTCCCAGTTAGAGTAGTTCTCTAGCATAAAATGGGGTTGTATAGGTCAGTGATCTATTCCACTCTAATTTCTTACGCTGTCTTTAACATTTCGCCAGTCTTGTTAAACCTGCTGCTTTACCTCTCTTCTTCTTCACTTTTATCTTTCCCGAATCTATAACTAGAAATCAACCTTATCATGGTAAACATCTTAATCCTTCATTTAGTAAGTTATCCTACTTCTCGTACAAGTTTCCTTAATCCCTTTGCTGATAATCACAACATCTCCATAGTGATTATTACGCAATGAACCACCTCCATATCCTGTCTCTTTTTATCTCGTTTGCTGGATGCCTTTTTGAATTCTTGATCGCTACCGATCTCTTTGTACTTAATTTTGCTACTAAACCTATTAATCGCCCTCCGTCTTTGTTTTCTACTATTTCTTATAGCAACATTATTTTTCCTCTATTGTTTTTGAGATGTCCGAATTCCACCAATTAAACTAAATTATAAAATTTTGAATATGATATTTAAAAACGTGAAAATGGTTCGTTTTTATAAAGTTGAAGTGTATAAAAAGCTTAAAACTTATTTAGAGATTAAAAAATAATTTATCGAAAAGCCAATTAATGTCAGAGCACCACAAATATATTTATAAATATATAACTAGACTTTTATAGGGTCTGGTTTATTTCGTTTAAAAGAATTTGGTTTGCTTCTACTATCATTTTATGATTAGCTTTCAATCACAAGTCATTAAAAGCATACTTTTTCCATCTTTATTTCATTTATTTTTATTTTGATATAAGAAATATTATTTTACATAATGTGCGATAAGCAAATATTTGCATAACATAATTAATTATAATTCAATTATTAACATTAGCTAGTTCCTTTCGTGTCTTGTATCCTTTAAATACTGCTTGTATTTTAGTGGCAGCCTGGTCAGGATTCATACTGATTTCTTTGTTTTCCTTTATTTATTACAAAAAATTATATAACATTTAGTATAAATATATTCAAAATCGCTAAGTTACACAGAGGCATTTTTACCAAATAATTTAGGAGTATAAATTTAAAAATTAAATCGAGAATTGTATAACTGAATTCTTGATTTCATAAATACTAACATTCAATAAAGATAAAGATTAAAACTTAAATTAATTTATTATATTAAAAATATTATATATTTATATCTATAATATATATAAAAGCCTTGTCACACTGTCACAGTCACAGTGTCACAATTTATAATATATATTTAAAAAATCGTTAATTTTGAAAAGCGTCTGTGCCCTAATCGGCAAGAGACTCGTTTACAAATATAAAGGCATTGGGTTTGAATCCCAGCAAATAAAAATTTTCTTAATCCAACTTGGTATTTTTTTTAACCCAACTTGGTGGTTCCGTCCTTTGGGATGGGCAATAACTAAATTCCCATTGGGCTTGAAAATATTGTCATTTGCAGACCTCTGGTGGTAAATGCATGGGAAAATAAAAGTGGCAGACACATATCATTTAGAAATGGATTCTTTGGCAGAGGTAAAATCCATTATGATCTGCTGTTTCCGATGTCATCCTGGCTAGAGGTCTGCAATGGGCAGGTTTTGGTGCATCTTCCTGCTCATTTATTTAAAGATTTTGTTTAATTTGCCTGTCCAATGTTATTGGTTGATTTGGTTCTTTATGTATTATTTTAATGTTTTTTTACATAAACTTATAAATTATGAAATAAAAAAATAATATTTAATTATATCATCTATAATCTATAATCTATAATCTATAATTCTATCTATCTATAATCTTCTATATATAATATGATCTATCTATTTAAATAATCTATCTATAATATATATAAAACCCCTCTCTATAATATATATTTAAAAAATCGTTAATTTTAAAAACATCTATGGCCTAATCGGCAAGAACGTCGTTTACAACTCTGATGGCTTTGGGTTCGAATCCCAGCAAAGATCATTTTTTTCTTAATACAACTTATATTTTTTTTCTTCTTAATCCAACTTGGTGGTTCCGTCCTTTGGGATAATTTTTAGGCCCATCCCGGGTATATTTAAAATAATTAAAATATGGCCTAACCCCTGTACCTGTATCAAAATTTATTATTTTATAATCAAGATCATCATGAAGAATGGATCCATATCATGAGAAGATGCAAACTTATTCAAAACTCTGTGGATAACAATTTAAAAAGGAGTGCTTTGTGGCTCAGCCCGTGTGTTTTTTTTAAAAAAATTTCGGGCCCGGCCCGAGTATATTTAAAAAAAATTAAAATACGGTCCGGCCCGGGGGTCGGGTCTGCAAGTCTCTGAAAAACCAACCTAAGAAGTACAACTTCTGAAAGTAGATTGAATGGTTTGATTCATTTGAATATTCATAGGCATTTAACGCCGCAAGGATGAGATAATTGAAAAATTAGCACAATCCCAATGAAGATTGGATTTTACATTATAAATACAAAATACAATTATTCCTAAGAAACCTTTTGTGTATTAATTTATATTTCCAAAATTTAAATTTTTTCTTTATATATAATTTTAAAGGTTCAAAAAATTCAAATTTCTATTTTGGGTCATTTAAGTGATTCATATGGTGATTATATTCACTTTATATTTTATAATTCTCATTTATTTTTTAGTTTTTCAATGCCGCCAATTATATCCGTTTATATTTTTTAATTCACATTTATTTTATAGTTTTTTATATGCCGGTTTATATATATAATTTTTTTATAATTCACATTAATTTAAAATTGTGTATTAGAAATAGTTATTAGTCCTAATAAATTTATCCTTAATATTTTTGAATAACAATAATATTTCTTAAAAAATTTTATTATCCCCCCCCCCCCAGACCAAATTCCTGCGCACACGCCTTGTATGTCATGTCAAGAGGTGGATTTTGGATATAATACAAATGGCATGTGAAGCTATTTTGCTTTATCACTTAACATTATATCCTAATTGATATGTATACTTAATAAGTTAAGACCCGACCTTGGGCATTGACCCGTGGCAATTATGTTTGCTAATAATCTTCTAAATAGCCCATTGCAATGGGGTGGATACCACCATAGTGTTTGTGAGATAATCAGGTTTGCTCCCAAAATTGATTCGAATCTTTGATGGCAGGTCTTTTATAAATGAGTATTTAGGAAGGTTTTAAAGCATTTAAATGATTCTGATGAATGTAGATTTTATACGAAGTGGGAGGGCAAAAACCATAGCATCTGGATGTGGAAAATTTGTTAAAAGAATTGATAAATATCATAATTCACAAATCATATTTTTTTTATTCCATATTTTTCTTAATAATTTGGCCTTTTCTCTATAAATTTATAGAAATCTTGGAAGAATGAATACGGATAATCTATTCCTTTCATTTAACTATTCTGATTCTTTATCGTCAAATGAAAGTAACATTTACAGTAATAATATGATTTGTTGTAACACATTTTCATAATGTGAAAAAACATTCTTATATAGTTAAATAACTTTCCATAATTATTGTAAAAAACATTTTGATATAAATTTAAAAAATTTTTTTTTAAAGTTTTAAACTTTAATGAAGACTAACATCAAAGTTATGAATCAAATAGTTTTTTTTGGACACAAGTTTAAGTGGAAAAATGAGAATTCAAAAAATTTTTTTTATAAAGTTCTTAAACTTTAATTAAGACTAAGGTCAAAGTTATGAATCGAATATAGTTTTTTTTATTTTTTGGACATAAGTTTAAGTGGAAAAATTAGAATTTTAAAAGATATTATATAAAAAAAATTTTCTAAGATTTTTACAATACCTTTTTTAAATTTAAAGCATTATTCTAGTTATCCAAAGAATAAAAATCAGGATAAAATTTGAATAATTTCTTAAATAAACATGAGTGAAAACTCGAATTTAGGGTTTTCAGATAATTCTTATTTGTTTAGAATTTTTTATGATCAATTCGAAACACCAAAATAAAAAAAAATAATTTATTATTTATTTATTCTTTGTAAATAAAATATTACACAATATAAATCAATTACAAATTCAATCATTTAAAGGAATGCATCGAATTCCCTCTTCAATAAACTTTATGGTGTGAGAATAAAAATTTGAAAAATTATATGTAAAATAATTGCCTAAAATACTCGTAATAATTGAAATAACTTCATTTCGGTTATTGGGTTTAGGAGAATTTGATCTATATTGAATTTTAATTACTCCGAAAAAATTTTCTATCGGATTTAATTGCGGCGAATAGGGTGGCAAAAATATGATATTTGGATAATTCTCACTAATTATCCTCGCTCGATGTATAGGAGCATTATCCATTATAAGTAATGAATTTGAAGGTAAAAGTGCGAATAATTCATCCAGGTATGCCTTGAATTTTATCGCAGTAAAAGCCCCATCTATTATTGTGAATTTTTTCAATCAACTTATTCCTATTGTGCATAGGTTACTGGAAGTTTTTAAAAATATAATTTTTTCTCAAAATTTTCTTTCAAGTTTTTAAAAGTTTTTTTAAAAAAGGATGTATTTTTCTCAACAAGTTTTTACAATAATTACGGAAAGTTAAATTGAAGTGTCGGGGCCTCCGTTATGGGTAGAATGGTTGGTGGCACATCTCGATGAAATTTAAAAATACATATAAGTTCCTAGACATAAATTATTTTTAAAGCGATTCATGTTTTTTATTAACATTAAAATGGCGTCTGGAAGACCAGGCTTTTTTTTATGAATTATGCAAAAAAATAATTATATAAATTATGATCTTTTGTTTGAAAATAAATAAAAAAATTAAAACATGCCTAGAAAATACTTTAAAAAAAACGTCCCAAGACGGAATAATAACTCATGATTTTTTTAAAAAAAAGAAAAAGGATACTCATATTGAGATTTAAGGAAACTAAAATTGCCTCGGAACACATGGTTGATTGTAAAATTTTAAAAGTGGATCCATAATTCCAATTGATTTAAGAATTTTTTTAAACTAAAATCTTAAAAAAATGATAGCCTGAGGGTGGATGAGAATCTGAAAAGTCGTAATACTTTTTAATTTTTGACCTTTCGGCTTTATAAACAGGGATAATTGAACGTGTTCCACAAGATTTATAATTAGCCAATTATAAAGTTAATAGCTCTGCGGCGACTAAACCGCCTTAGATATAAACAACTTATACCATGACTGCCCTGAATACAAAAAAAATATATTTGAATCAAGACTAATTGGGGTATGTTAGTTCATAAGGGAAGGATGAGAGGGGGACTTTATAAAATTTCTAAAGATCTTTTTAATCCATATCTATCTCTGAGGGGTTTCGGTTGGGTCAGTTATATTTCTTATGTATCATATTTTATAAATCATATGTTTATAATAATATTGGCATTTTCCCTCCAATTTGCAATTTTTGTTACAGGGATTTTACTTCCCTTTTACCAATTTAAAGAAATTCTTGCCCCTATAATTTTCTATAGGAATTGAAATGAAATTATGGAATATAAACGTTATAAAAAAATATGCTATAATATTATATTTATATAAAATGTGAATAATTATAATATGATTTAAAATAACTCTCATATATTATGACACTATAAAAAATATAACAAATATTTAGAAATATTTTATGACCATATGTTTAAAAATTAATGTTTTCCCTCTTATAACCCTTTCATGCTACAGGGTTGCCATATCTCCCCCCATCAGGGGGAGACTCCGGCAATTTTTTGGTTTACACGTAGACATCTCACTTCTGCAAACCGCAATTGGAAACCTATCGCAATTTTTTAAGTTTTTCCACAAATTTTTTTTAGCATTAACGTTTTTTATATATAAATAATAATTTTGAGAGAGAGTAATTGATTATTTTTATATTTTTAAAATAAATTTTAAATATTTATTCGAAAAACATGTTTAGTTTGTAAATATCTTCCTATCCTGTTTTATTTTTATCCAATAATAAATACTTGGATCTATTCATAACAATTGAAGGATCACTAATGGATGGTTTGCGCAAATAACATCCTTTCATTCATATAAGTCAGTACAGTAAAGTATATCAACAGATTGCATGCAATACAAAAATATTCTATAAAAATAATAAATACTACAGATGCAACTACAGAATCGTATACACCTATCATGTAGTTCAACATTCACAGAGCTATATATCATCACAATGTGGGTTGAATATTTCCCCGTAATATTTAACTACTCCAATATAAGTGCAAACTTTAACACAAAAATGATGGTAAAAATTATCTGAAATTTTGAATCATATTTTTAAATTTAAAAATTTCCCTAAATAAAGGATATAAAATTCAGAAATTTCTAATCCACATAGATACCTTATCCCAATATAACATATATATTATCTCTAAAATAATGTATGGCATAATAAAAATATAAACCATATTAAAGTAAAATTGACACGAACCAGAAAGGAAAGTCTAAAAAATATTTGAAGGACACAGCTGAGTAAGAAAATGAAATCTTTTATTTTAAAAAAATCAGATTATTTTAATTAAACATTTTTTTAAAGAAATTAACGTATTACCCGAACATGTTCGTCATAGTGAATGCTCACGTTCAAAATTCGTATAAATAAAATGAACGCCGTTAACCATGTTTTTTCAAAAAATTAAATTTATTTACATTAAACGCTCGTTTAGAAACACTAAAAATACCGATATGCTCAACTACCTCAGGTTAGGAATCAAGTATATTAATATAACATATAAACACAAATGGGGTTTTATGTATGATAAAAAGTATTCTATCAAAATAAATTTTCCAAGAAATTATAATATACTGAATTATGTATCTAGAAATTTTGCCAAATAATGGCAATTAAAAAAAATTACATAAAATTATTATCATTTTAATTTGACCAACATCTAACTTTTTATATAGAATAATAGTATTGGTTCCTTAGCAAAAACCAAAATTGATGAAAGGTACATTTTGATGACTTAATAATTTTCTACAATTAATTGATTAAATTGTGATAAAGATGGAAAATGTTTTCAGGATATTTTGCGTCAAAATATTGTAAAATGTAAGATAGAAGAAAAGCAGAGCGCGCGAAAATTAAAAAAAAGGAAGATGTTTTTCAAAATCTTCTCTTTGGATTATTATAAATTATTATGATTAAATAAGACAAGGCAAGAATATTAGAAAATTTATATTTCTCTAATTAATAGATAAACAATTTTCATAAGTCAATCAAAATATGTGATCCACCAAGGTTACTTAATCTAAACTAAAGTTTTGGAGGGTCATCTTATTAGGACCTAACCCTCCATTCATAATTTTTTGATCAAAATTATAAAAGAAAAGTTTTAAAAAATAAATTAAGAGGAGGAAATGTTTACTATTCATTTTCATATCATATTTTGTAATAATTATAATAAAATAGATAAACATCATTAAATTATTAAGTTATAGCTGAATATTTAAATTTAATGCATAATATTAAAATAGAGGTTAAGATAAATATTTTGAATTTGAGATTTATTCCCTATGAGCTTTTAAATTTGCGACATAGAAGGCTTGGCCTATGGGCGGGTTCAAACCGGAAAATATTGCAGGTTTCTAATTTAGACAATTTAGTTTAGATGACTGACATTCATATTACCAGTATTCAGGCCGAGCGTCCATTAATCTAAAAGGATTAAAAAGCTTTTTAAAAAGCACAATGATAGAAGGTTTTTCCACTAATGAGCATCTATCGGAATTATGAATTTAAAGCTGATAATATGATTAGAATTTTTATAAAAATAAATCCTCCTTAATTACCATCTCCCCCCTTAAAAAAAATAGATATGGACATGTATTTAAAAAGTATTATAATATGCTGAAGCAAGTGCTAAACCTTCAATCTTAATATGATAAATCCATATTTTCAAATCAAAAACGAATCCGGAGAAGAGAACCCGGGTTTTTGTAAAACTAAGCAACCCTTGATTAAAAAAACCGAACCACCTCAATTTTTTATAAACCAGAGTTCGAAATAGTTGAGCATACATTCATATATTAGGAAATAAAAATAATTATATATTTATTTAGGCAAGACTTCAGGAATTTTTTTTACATTTTTGATTTAATTATGATAAATTATTTAAATTATTAAGCACATATTCATCTATACCAGTTATTTACTTTAAAATTATTGTCAATTTAAAAGATTATTGAAATGATTGTGAATAATTCAACGCATAGACGTATCCAGGATTTTGCTAAGGGGGTAGGGGGTAAACACTGTTAGGTGGGGTTTTCCTCCTCAAATTTTATTGGAGGTCTTTAGGTCCAAATATTGTAGGGCTTTTTTTTGTATTTTTATAAAAATAATTTTGTGTTTTCACTTTTTTTAATAAAAATGCTTTTTAAAAATTTTGAATTATAGCCAATTAAAAATTATTAACTTTTACTAATTTTTCTTTCAAATTTTTATTTATAGTTAGATATTGTATATATTTGGGAGAGGGAAGTGGGGGATGTAAAGGGGGAATAATTTTTATTAGCTTAAAATGATATTTACGAAAACATGCAAATTTTTACAATGGGGAGGGGGTATTACCTCTGCTTGATTACGCGCCTGCTTCAAAGTAAAAGATAATAATAAGACATTTCCGAATTGGAGTGAATTACTTCCACTCAAAATTAAACGATAAAAAATTACATAAAAGTTTTAGATTAAATTTTTATATATTTATATTACAGCTAATAAGAGTAAATAATTTTTTTTTTAATGATACATGACTTGTTTATGTTTCGTATTTTGTTTTTTACCTATATCAAAATAATAATTTAAAATGTATATTTTTTATATTTATAAATATTCCCTAATCCAAATTGAACGTTTAAAATTTTAGGCTGAACAGAATCAGAACAGAACGCATTTAATTCCTTAGCCATGAACCGAATCTATTATAAATAAAGGTTCAGAACAAAACCAATTTAATTCTTTAGTCGTGAACCGAATCTATTAATCAAATAAAGGTTAATAACCTTATTAGAGTTAGATAGTAGTCTGTAATCTTTTCGGACCTTGTGACCTTTATATAAGGCCTGGATTCTGATAGCAGCTAAGTTGGGATCGAGAGAGGTTATAGGTTTTTCGTTGTTTTCTATTTCTTCATAGGATTCCATATGCTAAAAATTAAAATAATTAGCTAAATTAGGAAAATAAAGTTTAAATTTTTTTATAAATAACTACAGTGCAATGAGTTCATCGAGCCTTAATTTAATTGTTCTAAGATATTTTTACAAATTTTTTTCTAAATAAAATAAATGACTTTAATACACCTAAATAATAAAAGCCAGCATGCCTTAACGATGACATTGAATGTATAACTAAAATGGTAAGAATTTTAAAATTAATATTAAAGATAGCAAATCATATAACTAGTATTCAAATGATTATCTAAATAATTAATTAGCTATATTTAACTCTTTATTAATTATTCTACTTAACTGGGTTAAATACAGGTATTAATTGAATTCGATTATTATATTCATTTATATGTCATATTATAAAATTTAATATTGCTTTAGCTTATATTTTCTTTATTTAAAAATAAATGAAGTGCATTTTGTCAAAAAAATGTAGCTTTTTTCCATTCTTAAAACCAACATATCTTAGCGAGTAAATGGTGTTGGGAAGTAAAATTTCATTTTTTATTTGCAAAATTTAAAAGAAATATGTTGGGTCGGATTTTAGTTTATTTATTTTTGGAATCCCCATAAAATTTGCAGTTATGAATAGATATATTTTATTTTTAAAAATTAATATAAAAATTACTATATTTTCTTAAAATTTTAAAATATTATTGAAATTTAAAAAGTATATATCCTTTTGTTTATAAAGATTAAATTGTTTAAGAATGAAGGTTAAAAAGATTTTTAAATTATCATTAGAATGAGGATTTTAATCTTATTATTAAGAATTTTATCTCGAAAGATGTAATTAATTGATAAATTTAATATTTCATCATCATGTGCACTTTTTCCATGCGCAGTGACTGAAAGGTACTGTTAAACATATTTTAAATTATAAAATTATTCATACGACCTTTTGTATTTTTTCTTTCTTTTTCTTTTTCTTTTTGTAAAATATATTATAACCTTATTGTACTTTTCTTTCTATATATGCTAAAATAACTTTTCTTAATATAACCTTAAAATATACACATGTAAATATTGTTGAAATAATAATATATTATATAGTTATAAAAAGATATAATAATTTTTGAGAGAGAAATAAAGATAATAAAATATAACTATCGCCTTCCGTGAAAATATCAGGTACCATTCTCTGGAATGCCAATATCTCTCACCTAATGACATATATTTGGAAATTTTTTTGATTTTTGTAATGAGCCGCCGACCCGACAGAAAAATAAAAAAATTGGGGATATCGCGTAGAATTTGAAATTTTCAAGATGTCTGAAAAAGTGCAATGCTTTTGTATTATGTTGCAAGCAATCCGAAATCTTAACAAACGATAGTATGTCTTTATTATAAATAACAAGTGGATGAATTGTTGACTGTGTGTTAGTCCATTGATAACTTTGCCCTGCACATAGAATAACAAGACTATATCTATGCAAAATCACATACAATTAAAAATTCACCGTTTTCTCTTAATCTAATATAATTTTTATAATCTGATTGCCGACTAGATAGAAAAAAGCTTCCATTTTTTCAAGATAAATTTATAATCTCTCTTGACTATTGTTTCCAATAATTAATAAAATCTACCCTGTTAAAATTGAATATTTTCTCAAGTCGCTTTATAATATATTCTGGCCCTGAGCAGTTCTTGCAAGAAATTGTTTGTGGATTACATAAATTTTTGAGTTAAAAGTGTTTGTATGTTGTAAGAGGATATTCATGGTATTTTGTTAAAAGTAGAAAATTTGCACATATATCATTAATGTAAAATTTTGGTGAGAAATACAAACATATGTATTACTACCTCCCACCAATATACAATTTTGCGGCCTTAGACTGATTTAGAAAGTCCTAAAGAAATATTAAAATTTATTTCTCTGAACTGAATATATATTTTTTTTAAATTACCAAGAACTAACATGTTCTCTATTTTTGTTTTTCCATCTTTTATATATGACAATGCATATTTTATGTCAGAAATTTCTATACTAATATCACAGTTGTCGTAGAAAGATTTTATAGCATTAACTATACTTACAACTATACCCGATACTTCTTCCAGATTTCGAATCAGTTGTTGATAAATACTCTTTTCCATAGTAAGTATCTTAACCGTTTTAGCCATATGATAAGATACTTGAAATTCATTTATCTTTCACCAGCTATCTGCATTATTATAATATGATAATTGTGAATTTATCTTTAATATATACTGATATATCATCTGTATTTTATTTTGTACCTTAATTCCTTATTGTCTCCTCAACATTTAAGCTTGTTGCGATGGCTCTTGCAATTTTATCATTTAGGGGCGGGGGTGATATCTTTTTTTAATGGACGATTCTCATATTTCTGTTATTGTTGTATTAATTGATTCAATCATATCGACATCCATGCCAATAGTTTTAGTTAGTTAAAGTTTTATATGGTATCAAGTGCAAATCTTTTTATCAGTATTGAATTTTCTTTAATATTTTTCGGCCATTGATAGTCAGGAATATTAAATGGATTAAAACATCTTGTTCGTTTATTAATACTATGCATGATTAAATTTTTTAAATTTTATTTAGGAAAAAAGAAACTTTTAATTAATATTTTCTTCTAAGGATTACAAAATTTAGTTAGTTTATTAATAGTATACATAATTAAATTTTGTTTCATTTTAATTAGGAAAAGAAATTTTAATAAATATTAAAATTTATATAAAAAATGACGTTGCCTATGAAGACATATAGGCACCACTCTAATTTTTTTTATACTTTTAACAATGATAATAGTTTATCTAAAGTTCTATAAAATCGGTTTTACCCAAATTTCATTTATAAAGATTTTAAATTTTATTATGGGAATAAGAGGTTATCAGTAAATATTCAAATAAATTAACCCATGACCGGAATATTTAAAAATAATTTTTTATTTTTATTTTCTAAAGACAAAAATATTATTATTTTGATACTAGATTTATTATATAAAATTGCGTAATTTTATATCAATCACTCAATTAAGGAATATACACACTCGGTAAAAAAAGGCAATTTTTCATGCTTAGACCTAAGATATCTTCAAAAGTATAAGGTTAGAATGCTAAAACTGGCCGTACCATGATCGGTTTGGTATGGTGTGATGTGATACAAATATTAAAATGTTTTTCTGGAAATTTTCAATCTAAACATTATTTTCAAAATAATTTATAAGTATTTTAATTGAGCCAGTCCTAAAAAGGAATCTAAATACAGATACCGATTCTTTGTGAAAAAAGGATCATAGATATAGATACAAGTCTTATCAAAAATATCAGATAGTAAGGTGTTTGTATCTTTTGCTAAATGAGAGTATCTTAAATACAAGTTTTCATAAAATAATCATTAGCTATTAAATTAGAATAATTAAGTTTTAAAAATATAAAATAATTTATATATAATTTATTAGTGAAGAAAATAACATAAGTGTATAATCAGATTTAAGATTCATTTATTTAAAATTTATATAATAAATATTAATAAAGCTCATTTTATAATAGGAAAGAATATTTACGGTAATTGATAAATATGTCAAATTATAATGTTTAATGATAAGGTAGATTACATAATCAAACATTTTATTAATAATAAGCAAGGAAAATTCTACGTTGAAATATTAATTTACATAGTATTTCAAACATTATTAAATTAATTATTAATGTAAATCACTATTTTTTTAAATAATCAATTTTTTAAATAATTTTTCTATTAAGCCTCTGTTTTTTTGATTAAACATTGTGCCAAATCTGAATAACCTTTCAACTAAGGCAACCATATTATATTTTAAAAAAATTAATGGAAAGTTAATAATTATGTGCTTCTAGTATTTCTAAGATCTTTAGGATAATTTAATACCACTAATGTTATTTGTGTCTAAATTCAGAAATATTTGTTTAACTAAAAAAAAATCATTATTTTCTTGGTTATTCGATTATTATATTAAATAAAATGGTGTGATACTTTGATTATACACTACTAATATATTTAGAGTCACTTTTATCAATACTTTGAATGTATATATTTTTTTATTATCCGACTCAATCCATAAGTTTTAAAGTATGGATGTGAGATGCTGAAATTAAAGGTAAGATATTTTCTAATTCTTAGCTCATTCCACCTTGGATATTATTTAATATAGTAGTTAGACATTTGAACTTATTAAATTTTCAAGTTTACCTAAGTAACTTTGACTACCAATAGTATGGATACATAAAATATACCTCTGCCTTATAATTTGTATAATTTAATTGCTACCGAGGTTAAAACTTTATAATAATCTTAAATATAAGTAATATCCTCATATTTTAAAGTTCGATTATCAGTTTTTTTTTAAATCATAGATTTAAATATTATTAATCGTAATGCTATTCCAAATAATGCGTGAAACTTTCAAATGTTTACCTGCTACCCAGGAATGTAGACGGTGGAGGGGGGATACGAGAGAGAACTGCTTACCATCACTGTTTCTAAAAAAGGTTTGGCTTGCCCCAGCCAGAAATTGTCAAAGAAGTAGGGGGAATAACGATAACCAATCAAGGAAACGTGCGAGTATTATTAAAAATATTGAAAAAGGGGTGAATATTGTTTCACATTTTTTGATCTATTCCGATTTATGCGTTATATTATACTAATATAGTTGTCGTAATTTTTAAAGGGATCATGACTATCCGGGATCTTCACGGGATTTAAAGGGATCCCTTTAAAATTTCAATTTTTTAAAGGATAAAGAACTATACGGTATTATCACGGGGGCATAGATTGACCTCCATTTGAATAAATCATTTGATTAGCTATCGAATGATACCCTATACTAGACATATCTTATATCATAAGGCCAAAAAAAACAAAATTGAAAATTAAAAACGCAACGAAACTCGTGGAAAACGCTTAAAATAAGATTCCTCTTTATCACGATTAAAACGTGATAACCCTAATTTTTTAGTTATCCCTTTAAATCCC